ATAAACCAAGGGGCAACTAGTAATTATATGATGACACCTGTTCGATATACAACAAAATTACTATAAATAAAATAAGCTAAAATACTTGTTTGATTCTTAAAATATACACTTTTTACGCAGTAGGCGTAAGTACGCCACGCTATGTTTTTCCCAAGGCGAATCTATACAAGGTGGTGTTACCGGATCCGCTGATTTCGCGGCGAATTTGTACCTTTTGTCAAAATGATGTGCTTGTTGTAATTTTGTTTTGTACTGATTGTCAATGTGCGTCTAATTTGTTATCGTAATTTTTGTTTTTGCTCTGCCAACACCACCTTGTATAAATTCGTCTTGGTTTTTCCAATCTGCGCGAGTTCGAAGCTTCCATACTCGCTTGAATTAAAAAATGGTGATGGAAAATATAGCGTTCCGAATTTCATCAACCAAAAATTTTGCAAGTTTGGTTATTCACAATACACTTTAGATTTTTTAGGTCGCAGAACGTAAAATATGAATTTTTATTTGATATTTTTAACTATCGAAAACTATTTAGCACTGGGTAAAAAGACATTTAACTTCGGAATAATTATGGGAAAACTGGCCTTTTGCATGGAATTTCCTTTTGCTTTTTTTTACGGCAGAAAACTAAGTTTATTTTTGTCGTAAGACCTTTTTAATTTTTAAAAGCCTGCGATGCCGGATGGTGCACTTTTGCTAAACCTTCGGGGAAATACTCTTCTTTTGTGAAAGCATAAAAAATTAAATGTTTTGGGGACCTGAATTGATGGGATCATATGGTGTATTGTTTAAAACCTCAAAAATTGGGTTCATGCAAAAATGCAGCTTTTCTTTAATTATTCCTAAGCTTGGAATTTTTATTTTGTCATCAATTCAATTTCACAAACTGATTTTCGAAAAAAACAAAATAAAAAATTTAAATTTTAAGAAATGAGCATCTTTAACGACGGTTTGGTGAGCATAGAGATTTAGTTAAGAATTTATAACTTAAGTCCCTAAAATGGTGGTCAAGGGCCAAGGAACTGTCACAAATACTCATGCCCATAAAATTTGTACGAACCATCCCACAATAACGCGGCGTTAGCGCAGGGCAAATGGAATTTTCATTTTTGACAGGGCGTTACGTGTTGAAGTTGTATGCGGAAGACAGAAAGAGAGAGGACACAAAATGAAAGAGGGAACGAGAATGAAAACGAGAGGAAATGACAAAACGTCAAAAATTACGCCGCGTTAATTTGGGTATAGCGCGCGTTTGCCCTAGTTGGCATTGCAAAGCGCAACGCTTAGCGCTCCAATTTAGGAACGGCAGTAAGATTGTAAATTACTTCAACTGTTTTAAGTACAAATTCACTGATTTTTTAAAGTATGATCAGATTGATAATAGACCTTTGTTGCAGCAAGTGGAAAATCATCTACATTTTCTTATTGCCGATTAAGAAAGGTAAGGAAAAACGCCAATGGAATGCACACCGAAACGCTAACTTTTATTTCAAAAGGAAATCAGTTTACATAACTAGCTGCTAGCTACTTGCCTGAAAATTTCCTTAGTATAAACCTTTGCAAAACGATTTTTCAGCACACATATGTGTACATACATATGTATGTATGTATCTTTGTAAGTAAAACGAGAAAATTAAAATAATTCTATAAGAGGCTAGCCATAACAACAATTTTGCTGCCTTTTCTAATGCTGTTATTCCACGTTACACACAAGCGGGCAAACTTGCCAGAAAGCTCTACCCTTGGCGTTAAAAACAACAACAACCAAAAGTTACCAAAGTTGGAGCGCAAAGAACCCGTTTGACTTGTTGAAAAATATTTCTTTCATTTTTATTTTGCTCATGTTTTTACTTTTTATTTTTTGTTTCACACGGCAGCAGCAGAGCATTGTCTGATCAAGTTTCAATACACACCGAGCATGTGGTACGTGTGGTGCTTTTCCTTGGCTAATAAGAGTATACACAATAGGGGTATTCTCAGAGTCTTGCAAAGCCATTGCACGGTGCACAGATTGCACGGTAAAACGCGGTTTTCGTATGGGACAGCACACCGTGAAATCCGTGCACCGTTAAGGGCTTTGCAAGACTCCGAGAATACCCCTAATATTCCATTTGGGAAATCGAGAGATTTAAGCATAGTGTTGGTATTTTCAAGATTATATATACTTATGTACATACATAAATACATATCTATATAAAAAATCCACAATTGACGGAAATGCTTACTTTTCTTAATGGCGACGGTTATTACTCCTTTGGCAGTAAGTGATGATTTCGAGGGTGATCGCAAGGACTTGTAGCACTTTTTCTTGCCACTTGCCCTTAAATCTCATAAAACGCAACATACGTATACTCTTCAACTTAAAAATGCAATTGTTATTTCTTTTCTCCAGCACACATCAGAGCAACAAATTTTGTGTTACAATTTTTTCTTTACTTTTACACAACACTTTGGAACACTTAGCATATAATTTCCCTACTCTTACTAAAAACACAACAAACGTAAAGGACTCAATTTAACACATTTTTGCCCTTTGGCCTAAATGCCTGTTTTACTGGTCAAAATTACTTTTTTACATGAGTTAACATCACTTTTTTCTTGTTGCAATATTTGCCCTCGGCAGGCAATGGCAAACCTCCGAGTGTATTTCTGAAAAACAGCTTCTCATAAAAATACATTCGCCGTTCGGAGTCGGCGTAAAACTGTAGGTCCCTCCGCTTTGTGTGACAACATCAAGGACAAACATTAACATATGTGTAAGCGTCGATCTATTATTATTATTATTATTATTAATATTTTAGATAATGTTTTTTGCGAAAAGCCAAAATATAGTAAATAATCAGCAGTCAAATTATACTTATGGGTGGGACATGAAGTGTAACTGTTGAAAAAATATTAGAAGATATACTTAAAAAGCTGGTATGGAGCCTAAAGCTAAGAGTTAGTAGATATTAAAGATGTGTGTTAACACCTAATAAAATACTAGTTTTTCTTAAATGTTCACTGTACATAAGCCTAGAAAATGTTGGCTAGGTTTGGCTAAGATACAGTTATTAAGCCTCATTGCGAGTGTCATCTGGAGTGCAAGTCGTTTTTCGAGAGTCGGGTCGTATCGAAATTTGTATGGCATTGCCTAAAATTTCGACTCGACTAGTGTATTAAAACGGAACAACTTGGCAGCACCAGATAGTTTTCGACGATTTTCGTCGTTTTCTTATTTCTGCACGACAGAAGATAATGCCAATGTTGTCGAGTTGTACAATTTAGACTAATTTACGACTGACGCGATGAGGCTGATTATTATTTATCCGTAATTAGTTTTGGCCAGATATCAAGGCATTTATACCATAGTGCATTGTATAGCTTTTAGAATCAATAATTTACATTTTTGCTATTTTTCTGTCGCTTAAATGAAATACCTGGCTGTCGAAGCTCACTAATTACCGCACTTGCATACATATATACATATGTATGAATTTACAATCCGAATCACATGCAGGCATATACATACATATATGTACGTATTTTCAACAACTTCGTTTATGTTGTTGCGAATGCTCAACAACGGAAACATAACACTTAATTTCAAATGAACAAAACGATAGGCAATCCGATATTATACCGAATAAACGCGCAATGAAATTTTCCGCGCACAAAAACCGTTCACTGATTTTACAATGAAAACACACAAAGAACTAAATTGGAGTTTACTTTTTCTACCTGAACGCACCATACTTATGTGTGGAAGTCTGTAGCAGTGTGACCGTTTTGAACCAAGTGGATCAAAAGTGATACATCTTAAGATTAATTTTGGAGGGGCACTTCGTTTTAAATTTTGATACTTTTGCAATCGTGTAATCGTGTGTCGAAAAACTTGCCAGAGATGTTTACAACATAACACTTAATTTCAAATGAACAAAACGATAGGCAATCCGATATTATACCGAATAAACGCGCAATGAAATTTTCCGCGCACAAAAACCGTTCACTGATTTTACAATGAAAACACACAAAGAACTAAATTGGAGTTTACTTTTCTACCTGAACGCACCATACTTATGTGTTGTAAACATCTCTGGCAAGTTTTTCGACACACGATTACACGATTGCAAAAGTATCAAAATTTAAAACGAAGTGCCCCTCCAAAATTAATCTTAAGATGTATCACTTTTGATCCACTTGGTTCAAAACGGTCACACTGCTACAGACTTCCACCACATAAGTATGGTGCGTTCAGGTAAAAAAGTAAACTCCAATTTAGTTCTTTGTGTGTTTTCATTGTAAAATCAGTGAACGGTTTTTGTGCGCGGAAAATTTCATTGCGCGTTTATTCGGTATAATATCGGATTGCCTATCGTTTTGTTCATTTGAAATTAAGTGTTATGTTTCCGTTGTTGAGCATTCGCAACAACATAAACGAAGTTGTTGAAAATACGTACATATATGTATGTATATGCCTGCATGTGATTCGGATTGTAAATTCATACATATGTATATATGTATGCAAGTGCGGTAATTAGTGAGCTTCGACAGCCAGGTATTTCATTTAAGCGACAGAAAAATAGCAAAAATGTAAATTATTGATTCTAAAAGCTATACAATGCACTATGGTATAAATGCCTTGATATCTGGCCAAAACTAATTACGGATAAATAATAATCAGCCTCATCGCGTCAGTCGTAAATTAGTCTAAATTGTACAACTCGACAACATTGGCATTATCTTCTGTCGTGCAGAAATAAGAAAACGACGAAAATCGTCGAAAACTATCTGGTGCTGCCAAGTTGTTCCGTTTTAATACACTAGTCGAGTCGAAATTTTAGGCAATGCCATACAAATTTCGATACGACCCGACTCTCGAAAAACGACTTGCACTCCAGATGACACTCGCAATGAGGCTTAATAACTGTATCTTAGCCAAACCTAGCCAACATTTTCTAGGCTTATGTACAGTGAACATTTAAGAAAAACTAGTATTTTATTAGGTGTTAACACACATCTTTAATATCTACTAACTCTTAGCTTTAGGCTCCATACCAGCTTTTTAAGTATATCTTCTAATATTTTTTCAACAGTTACACTTCATGTCCCACCCATAAGTATAATTTGACTGCTGATTATTTACTATATTTTGGCTTTTCGCAAAAAACATTATCTAAAATATTAATAATAATAATAATAATAATAATAGATCGACGCTTACACATATGTTAATGTTTGTCCTTGATGTTGTCACACAAAGCGGAGGGACCTACAGTTTTACGCCGACTCCGAACGGCGAATGTATTTTTATGAGAAGCTGTTTTTCAGAAATACACTCGGAGGTTTGCCATTGCCTGCCGAGGGCAAATATTGCAACAAGAAAAAAGTGATGTTAACTCATGTAAAAAAGTAATTTTGACCAGTAAAACAGGCATTTAGGCCAAAGGGCAAAAATGTGTTAAATTGAGTCCTTTACGTTTGTTGTGTTTTTAGTAAGAGTAGGGAAATTATATGCTAAGTGTTCCAAAGTGTTGTGTAAAAGTAAAGAAAAAATTGTAACACAAAATTTGTTGCTCTGATGTGTGCTGGAGAAAAGAAATAACAATTGCATTTTTAAGTTGAAGAGTATACGTATGTTGCGTTTTATGAGATTTAAGGGCAAGTGGCAAGAAAAAGTGCTACAAGTCCTTGCGATCACCCTCGAAATCATCACTTACTGCCAAAGGAGTAATAACCGTCGCCATTAAGAAAAGTAAGCATTTCCGTCAATTGTGGATTTTTTATATAGATATGTATTTATGTATGTACATAAGTATATATAATCTTGAAAATACCAACACTATGCTTAAATCTCTCGATTTCCCAAATGGAATATTAGGGGTATTCTCGGAGTCTTGCAAAGCCCTTAACGGTGCACGGATTTCACGGTGTGCTGTCCCATACGAAAACCGCGTTTTACCGTGCAATCTGTGCACCGTGCAATGGCTTTGCAAGACTCTGAGAATACCCCTATTGTGTATACTCTTATTAGCCAAGGAAAAGCACCACACGTACCACATGCTCGGTGTGTATTGAAACTTGATCAGACAATGCTCTGCTGCTGCCGTGTGAAACAAAAAATAAAAAGTAAAAACATGAGCAAAATAAAAATGAAAGAAATATTTTTCAACAAGTCAAACGGGTTCTTTGCGCTCCAACTTTGGTAACTTTTGGTTGTTGTTGTTTTTAACGCCAAGGGTAGAGCTTTCTGGCAAGTTTGCCCGCTTGTGTGTAACGTGGAATAACAGCATTAGAAAAGGCAGCAAAATTGTTGTTATGGCTAGCCTCTTATAGAATTATTTTAATTTTCTCGTTTTACTTACAAAGATACATACATACATATGTATGTACACATATGTGTGCTGAAAAATCGTTTTGCAAAGGTTTATACTAAGGAAATTTTCAGGCAAGTAGCTAGCAGCTAGTTATGTAAACTGATTTCCTTTTGAAATAAAAGTTAGCGTTTCGGTGTGCATTCCATTGGCGTTTTTCCTTACCTTTCTTAATCGGCAATAAGAAAATGTAGATGATTTTCCACTTGCTGCAACAAAGGTCTATTATCAATCTGATCATACTTTAAAAAATCAGTGAATTTGTACTTAAAACAGTTGAAGT